CGACCTATAGTCTAGGTTTATTACTTTTTCATCCATGGATAAGGCAGTCATATCTCCTGAGATCTATAAATGAAGGGGCGGGTAATTAATTTCGATTTGAAAAAATATTTTTTATAGTGTATACAACCTAAAAAATTGTTCATAAACTACTTGACCTACTATAACATTAGATCATGTCAGCTATTGTAACTAAAATCGTTGAAAAATACACCCTCGTCCCAAAGATGAGGGACTCTGAACTTAGCCAATATACCTCAAAATTTCTTGAGAACCTTACCGATGATAGAAAGCGGAATCAAGCTTGACGACGTCTTCGGGATGGCTTTAAATTTAGCAGTAATCAGGTGAGCATATTGATACCCAACCAGAGAAGTGGGAAAATTAAAACTATAAATATTATCGAAGGTAATTGTAGACCTGAAGGGTCTTTGCTTTGCAATAGAATAGTTATAGCATCGCCCCCAAAAAATCCGGAAGAAGAAATTATCAGAGAGATAGCAAAACGAATCTTGCAAAATAGATATGGGTTTAGTGAGGATCAAGTAAATGCCTTATTCTCGATCCAGAAAAATGGAAGTAGCCACAGTGTAACTACCTCAGATAAAAACGTAAATATGTGCCTTGGCACTAGCCCCGCTATTGCGATTTCCAACAAACTCTTGAAAGGGATGGAGGAAGAAACTATTGGAGATATAGCACAACGGATTTTACGGGATAAACTTAGCGTTAGAGATATAAGAGCTGAAGCTTACGCCTTAGCCCTATCAGCAAAAAATGCCAATGCTGGTTCATCACGTCTTTCCTGTCTCAGAAGAGAATTAAGAAACCTTGGTGCTTTACCCGCAATAGTCGAGGCCACGAAATTTCCAGATATTACAGAAGATGCTAACAAAATCCAGAGGGATAATCAGAAAAAGGCTGAAGCTAATCGTATTGACTATCCGGATCATTTTACATTGGAGTCGGTTAAGGAAAGATTAGATGAGTATGATATTAAAACTTTACCCGATTGTCAAGCTCTCGCTGATGTTATAATAATGCTCTGTATTCGTCCCTCTGAGCTTACATCTTTACGTATTACAGATGCTGGCGTGATAGGCTATGCGAAGAATAGGGGACAACTAGATATTCCTCGAAAATTTAGATCTATGGAAAAGAATCAAGAAAGAGCTAAGGAATTGCTTACATGGATTCAGAATGCTATATCTTCTGGTCGAATGGGTAATCCAGGTAAGCCAGGAGTTAAATGGTTCAATAGATTCTTAAAAGACTATGGTTTAATTCCTAAATACTTACGTAAATTGGGAGCAGTTTATGGTGCAGTAGTACATGCTAAAAATCCAGCACATTTTATGACAATAGCTGGAGAATGTCTACGTCACAGCCCAGATAACCACACTTCTCCTGTACAAAATTACGTTGTTGTAAATTACAGAAAAAGAAATACCCCTCCTGAACAAGCAAGACCATTTCGGATCTATGATGAGAATTAATAACAGATTAGTAAAGAAACCTCTGAATGAAATAGTAGAGCACCTGAATGGGGTCACATCTATACCTAAAGATATTCAGAATTTTCGATTTGGATGTGTGTAACAAGGGGATGATTCAGTGATAGAATATTTTGTAAAAATAAATAAATGCAATAAATCATTCGAATATAAAGAAGAGCAACTGAAATATCAATTCTTACGTGAATTAACACCTGACAATCAGTTGGAAGTCAGAAGATGTGGATTGGAACTTTCATTAGACGAGCTAGTAGAGAAACTGAGTAAAATTGAGAATATCAGGAAAATCCATAGTATATGCACCTAAATTAATTATCCAAACATTAGTTGTTTTTTCCATTAAAGATATACATATAATATATATTCTTGAAAATGGCACAACTATTGCGGAGCAGGCCGTTAGACAGTTCTTCGAATCATGACCCAAAGGGTTTAAATATTTTTGATCTACCAGAATTGTTAGAACAGATCTTATATTTTTTAGAAATCGATCGATCCCTTTATCCTGCTTTATTTGTCAACCATCTTTGGTATCACTGCAGTGCTCCTATTCTATGGCATCGCATTGAATTTTTCAACGAAGATTATCAGAAGAGCTGGCGTGCCCTAAACATGTCCCGGGTTCTTACTTGGCGATTGATAAACTTTAAAAGAGTTATGCGTAGAAAAATAAAGCCACTCTATTGTTCAAAGATGGCATATCTCAGATTAGAAGGTTTAAAAATCTCAGATGCGTTAATCAGCGCAATTTTGTATTCATGCCCAAATATACGCTTTCTTATTCTTGATAAAAGTAAGGGTTTCTCTAACATACCAATTATAGAAATTGCAAGATATTGCCCAAAGCTATTACATCTGAGTCTTAATTCATGTATATGCCTTACTAATCGATGTATCACTGAAATATCGCGTTCTTGCCAAAAACTTAGTCATCTTGAGTTTGGTGATTGCTCGATTAGTAATAAAGCTGTCGAGGAAATAGCCCACAACTGTACTAATTTGAAATATCTTAGTTTGGAAGGATGTAATGGGATTAGCGAAGAAGTGATGAAAAAACTTGATTCAAAAATTAAAATCGAACATCCAGATTATTCTGATGATGAATTTTCAGATTCTGATCTACCTCCACTTATTCCAGACCGAAAGAATCGTGTTCATATTAAAAAGAAAAAAGTTGACTCTTCTACCCGAAAACATCGTAAAAATGAGCATAGCAACTGCATCCGCATTCCAGAGTAGTGATCCATCCAATCAGAATAATCACTTGATTTGGGGCTATTTTTTGATAAGCTTGAAACTGATCACGGATCTTGCTATGTCCGGCTAAAAATTTGTACAAATTGAGTATGAATTTCTTCCCATTCTTTCATCAGATCATCTAGCCATGCAGTACTTAAACCACTTTTTAGTATACTGCGACGTAATAACTCTTCTCCGATTAGCCTATCCCGATCTGTTAAAAATTTACGATATTTTCTGGTATCTTCCTGCCTTTCTATTCCACCACAGTAAAAGCGTATATCTCTCTCCAAGTCTTCACGGAAGCATCCCATAGCCCACCTATTTTTCTCAGCCTCAGTAATGACAGAAAATTTCTCGGGATCAAGGTCATTTTCAACAGCATATTGATAAAGGCGGGTTTTGTTTGGATGAATTGGTGAGTTACTAATTTTGTT